TCTCGGCTTTCCTGCTGGCAGAGCAGGGCAGCCGGCCTGTCAGCATCCTGCACCCAGGTGGGGCTCCTTGTGACCAGGCTGATGAGACAGGTGGCCACCTCCCCACCTGATGCTTCTGGTGGCTCTAGAAGCCTCTGGGTGGTGCTGAGCTCCTCTCTCCCCCATGGCCAGGGCGACTCTGTTCCCCGACGCAGAAGCCGGGACCACTGCAGACGGAAAGACAGACAGATGTGTGGTCTGCAACGACCCACGCCAAACCCTCAGCTCTATTTTAAACCTGCCCAGCGCTGGCCCCTGCTCACCGCCTCCTCCGCTCAGCCCAGGCCCGGAATCTTCATGCCCTGCTTGCTTCTAGCAGCTTCTTAATCATTCTCCCTGCTTCTGTTGTCACCTCGCTCACCCAGCTCTGCGCTCCCAGCCCCGAGCAGGCCCAGTGCCACATCGCCCAGAGCAGGCTGGTCCTCTGCTCAGAGCTCACCCCAGAGCGGGCCTAATGGTGCACCCTGGAATCCCAGTCACCAAGGAGGCTGAGGCAGGAGGGTTATGAGTTCAAGGCCAGCCTAAGCAACGTAAAACATTTTTAAAGGGCTAAAGACATAGCTTAGTGGTAGAGCCTTTACCTAGCATACATGAGGCCTGGGTTCAGCCCACAGCACTAAAAAACAAAACAAAGCAAAACCCTCTCCATGGCATCTGCTATAGACAGTTTCTCCTAGGAGAAAACTGTTTTGTGAGACAAGGTTCCGCTAGCAGTTTAGGCTGCCCTTGAACTCACTATGTTTCCCAGGGTAGCCTTAAACTCTCGGCCATCCTGCCTCAGCCTCCCAAGTGCTAGAATTACAGGCATGGGCCAGCACACCATGCTTCAATGTGGTGTGTTTATTGTCTGCCCCTCCCAGAAGACACTGGTCTTTACAGCAGGGAACAGGGTCTCTTTTTCTTGCCTTGATGTCTAGAAGAGTCCCCAGCCGGCTGAGGGCAGTAGAGAAGTGTGTTGAGCAAATGAGATTCTTGCTAAGTAAGGAAAACCCCTCCTTACTCTAACTCTTGGCATCTTCCCTGAGGCATGCAACCTTTTCCTGACACAGTAGCAAGTATTCTTGAGTGTGTCTTGGACCCTCTCCCTTGGAAGCGGTCTCCTGGGGTGCATTGAGGTGGAGCCGCAGCGCACAGGGAGCACTTGGAGTGGAGCAAGGATCAGAGGTCTCCTTGGGAGTCCTGGCAAGTGGGCCGGGAGGCAGACCAGGAGAAAGGCCGCAAGACAGCCAAACTTCTGCTTGGCCAAGAAAGAAAAAGACTCAGAAGAAGCCAAAGCTAAGTGACACCCGGGAGGACAGCCAGCAATGTAAATGGCAGTCTCGAGCTGTGTCCACGCAGACAGGCTCGCACTCCAGGAATCAAGGAGCGAAGAAGTCAGGCAGGGCCGGGATGAAGGGGGTGTGGTGCTGTCCCTGCAAGAGTGGCCGCTGGCCCTGTCCACCCCCGGAAGACAAGAGCACCCGACCTGCTGGAAGCCGCTTCCCTATCAGGTTGGCCGGGGCCCCAACAGCACAGCATGGTCCTGGGCACAGACTCGGCTACTGCCCACCGTGAGCTGGCACAGTACCGTGGAAGGCAACTGCACCAGGACTCAGATCACCAAAGCCGACTCTGCCACAGAAGGTGGGCAGAGGCGCTGGAGGGCAGCTCGGTGCAGCGCTGCTCAGGCTGGGGCTGGATTCCAGCACTGCAGTCCAAAGGTTTTTTTAACTAAAAAAGGAAGTCAGAAAAGCAGGTACGGTGGCGCACACCTGTAATCCCAGCATCCAGGAGGATGAGGCAGGAGGATCGCTGCGAGTTCAAGACCAGCCTGGATTACAAAGTGAGCTCAAGGCCAACCTGAACTGCACAGTGAAACCCTGTCTCAAAAAGACCAAAAAAAAAAGCAAGTCAGGAAAAAAAAGACCAATAGTGATGCACGCCTGCAATCCTGGCACTCTGAAGGCTGAGGCAGGAAGATTGCGGGGAATTGGAGGCCTACCTGGGCTATTCAAGGCCAGCCTAAACTACACAGCAAAACCCTGTCTCAAACTGCAATCCCTAGAAAGAAAAATAAAAAGAGATTTGGAAATAGTATTTTTTTTTTTTGAGACAGGGTCTCACTATGTACTTACGGCTGGCTTTGAACTCATGGCGATCCTTCTGCCTCAGCCTCCCGGGTGCTGGAATTTGGAACTACTCTAAAACAAACTACGTGATGTATTATTAATAGAAAAATACCAAGTACTACATAGTATGCATAGTATGCCCTCTGCTAATTCAGGCTGAAAAGAAACAGTGACGGGAGAAGACAGCTTGCTGTTTCTGTATGGGTGAAGTTACAGGAGAGGCTAGTGGCAGCGGCTGACCAGGACGGCGGGGACTTTGCAGATTAGGAGCCAGTTCAGAGACGACTTTTGTCTGCATACGTTATTATATCATGTTAAGTACTGATGGAATTTTCTCTCCATCAGGAGGTTGAGGCAGGAGGGTCACCGTGAGTTTGAGGCCACCTGGGCTGCACACCAAGTTCAAGGCCAGCCTGAAAGTCACCGTGAGACACTGCCTCAGAAAACTGAAGACATTTCCCCCCCAGACACCCCATAATCTGCAATGATTGATTCACTCAGCTGCCAAGCAGATCCTTTACCAAATGCCAGTGACCCTGGGAGAGGCAGCAGGGCAAAACCTCAGGGTTTCCACCTCCGGGAAGCCCTGGTGACTCCTCTCCCACCTGGTGGCCTCCAGGCTTTTTTTTTTTTTTTTTGTCTTTTCGTCTTTTTGAGACAGGGTCTCGCTATGCAGTTCAGGCTAACCTTTTTTTTCTTTTTTTGTTTTTTTTTCCAGTACCAGGAATCGAACTCACGACCTTGTGCTTGCCAGGCAGGCGCTGTGCCGCTGAGCTAAATCCCCAGCCTAGTTCAGGCTGGCCTTGAGCTCACTTCATAGCACAAGCTGGTCTTGAACTCCAAGGATCCTCCTGCCTCAGCCTCCCAAGTGCTGGGATTACAGGCATGCGCCACCACACCCGGCTCCTCCAGGCTTTTAATATGGCTCCTGCGTAGCTCAGCACCATGCACCGTGTTCTGCCCGCCCACACCCACAGGCATCAGCCACTGCTTATCCTGGCCCCTTGCTCAAGCTGGAAGGTCGCGCCCCAGGGTGAGGCTGCAGCTAATTTCAGTGGACCCCAAATCTTGTATCTTGTTTTGTTTCTGTTTTGAGACAAGGTCTTATTATGTAGCCCAGGAGGACTTCAGACTCAGATTCTCCTGCCCTGGCCTCCTAAAAGTCATTTTGAACTGGGTTTCTGTCAATTACAACCTAGAGCACTGTTTACTAAAATCCGCCTCTGCTACAGAGGCACTGGCTCACTACTTCCCGGGTGAAATGGGCCACAGGCCACCTGGCCAGTCACAGGAACACCCTGCCTGGGCTCATGCTGGCTTCCGCAGTCCCCAGACCCCACGTCTTCAGCGGGGAGATACAGGTGTCAGCTGCAAATCCTCTGGGGTCACAGCTAACCCTGTGCACCATCCCCGGAGGCTGCCCCCAGGGTTACCCAGAGCCCACATCCAACCCTTCCCGACACCTGAATGTGGCTGTGTAGATGGCACCACAGGCCTGGGGCTCCAGGTGAGGCAGCTCAGACCTGGGTCAGCCCTGCAGGAGTCACCAGGAGCTGGGGGGAGGAGGGTCCCCAAAACCATCTGGGTCGTGCAGTAGAACCTGAAGACTTTGCTGTCTGTTTCCTTTTCTGAGACAGAGTCTCGCTATGTAGTCCAGGCTAACCTGGAACTCAGGCAGATCCTCCTACCTCAGCCTCCCGAGTGCTGGGCTGCTCTCCCTGTGGAAGGGCTGGCTCAGGAGAGGGAAGCTCAGCGGCTCACAGCCCCAGGCTCTCACCGGGCAGCCCTGCAGCGTCCTGGGCTGCCTGCACATCGAGGATATCCCACAAAAGGCTGCTTCCTTCCTCCCACTCAGGAGAGAAATGGGGCTCATACCTGAGACACCCAGATGTCGGCATGGGCCAGACTCAGAGCAGCAGTGGAGGGCGCGGGGATAGGGATGGGAGAGGAAGGGACAAGCACCTGGGCCAGCGGGGCAGGCAGTGACAGGCGGGTGATGGGCGCTTCCCACTCTGCACTCGAGGCGCAAGGTCCCAACAAGGCCACCCAACAAGGATGGACTCTGCCAGGAGGGTCACCGTGGGCCACGCCAGGTGTGATACTGCACGCCTGTGATCCCAGCACTCAGGAGGCTGAGGCAGAAATGCCACAAGATCTAACGGCATAGCCAGACTCTTATCTCAACCCCCCCCCCATAAAAAGAAGACTCGCCACTCAGACACCTATAATCCCAGCACTCGAGAGGCTGAAGCAAGAAGATCGCCATGAGTTCAAGGCCAGCCTGGGCCACATAGAGAAACCCTGTCTCAAAAAAATAAAAATTTGCTTTCCCATCTCTCCCTCCAATGCAAAACCACCAACTCCCCACAATAACCCGTGTCCCACAGCAAGCCTCGTCAGCAGAGCTTTAGCTCAACAGCCGATTTTGCTTTTGAAAGTTTCACACCAACGTTTCATTTATTAAAATAATTTCTGTAAACTCTCAAAATAAAATTCATTTTCCATTCTCGAGAAGCATTTCAAGGCACCATGAAATGATGGTCTAAGTACAGCCCTCCCTCCACGTGCGAAAATCCTATTACAAAAATCTCTCGGGTGACCCTGGCCCTCGGCAGCATGGAAAACAGACTTGGCCCTGGGGGGACAGGGCCCGGCGTCACACGGGAGCTGGCCACCGGGAAGGGATCTGCTGCCCCAAGTGGACAAAGACAAACCCGACACTTGTGACGAAAAAGGGCAAGTGAGAGCCAGCTGTGGCAGACACACCTGTGACCCCAGCACTCAGAGAGGCTGAGGCAAGAGGGTTCCAAGTTTGAGCTCAGCCTGAGCAACTTATTGAGAGCCTCTCTCAAAATAAAAAACAAAGGCTGAGAATGAAGCTCCGTGCAAAGGCCCTGGGTTCAACACCCAGGGCAAGGGGAAAGGAAACAGGAGGTTGGGTTAGGGCAGAGCCCTCACTTCCGGGCCTCCTCCTCACTCGGGCTGGCATCCCCCGGGGGCCCGGCTGCCAGCTTGCTCTGCAGCAGCGCTGCCAGCTTCTTGGAAGTCTTTTGCAGGAGGGCGCTGCCTGGGTGCGCGCGGTGTGCGTGCAGGTACAGGTCCTCCTGCGAGGGCCCCGTGTGGCCGCAGTCCTCGCACACGTACAGCTTGTCGCGCCGCTGCTTGTAGGCGTACTGCTGGTGCACGCCATGGATCTTCTTCAGGTGCGACTCCAGCGAGCAGCGCTGCGTGAAGGCCTTGTGGCACACGTCACACTTGTAGGGCCGGATGCCTGCAAGGACCAGAGCGACAGGTGCGTCACCACCAACCAGCTCATCACCTCCCGGCCGCCATGCCAGCAAAGATCACAGGGCAGCTGGGGGAGTGGGACCGAGCAGGACCCAGCAGTACGTGGACCCGGCAGTACGTGGGACTGTCCAGACAGCGATGTCCCTGAGGCCCCGCCTCTTGAGTGAGGCCTTGTCCTCCCCACTGCAGGCCTTCATGTTCTCAGCCAAGGGTGACAAAGGGAACTGGAGCCCACACCTGCCATCCCAGAATCCAGGAGGCTGAGGCAGGACAGTCCAAAGTTTGAGCCCAGCCTGGCAACTTACTATCTCAGATAGACTCTATCTCAAAATAAATGAAAAATAAAAAGGGGATGGGGATGGGGCTCAGTGCAAAGGCCCTAGGTTCAATGCCTAATACTGAAGAGGAAAGAGAGACAAAGAGAGAAAATCAGTCCCGCTGGGCATGCTGGCGCAGGCCTGTAATCCCAGCACTTCAGGAGGCTGAGGCAGGAGGATCACTGTGAGTTCGAGACCAGCCTGGGCTACAAACTGAGCTCAAGACCAGTTTGAACTGCATAGCGAGACCCTGTCTCAAAAAAAAAAGAGAAAATCAGTCCCAAGCAATGCCAGCTGACGCCTAAGGACAAGGCCAGATGCAGCAGCACAGGCTGAGGCAGGAGAGGAGGGTCACTGCAGGTTCGAGGCCAGCCTGGGCTGCAGAGCAAAGCCCTGCCTCGACCCCTCCCTTAAAGAAGCCCAAGGATAGCACCACAAGCAGCAGAGGCAGCAGACCCAGTGCCCTCCTCAGGGCTGCGTATCCCCCGTCCCTGATGGTGGCTCGCAGGCTGGGGAGGGCACTCAGCCACTCTGCTCCAGAACTTCCTGTTCAAAATGGGGGGAAATCCCCCAATGAACCAAATCGTTTCCATTTCTCTTCCAGTCCAGCCCAGTCCAATCCAATCCAGAAACACGTAATTTCCCATGACACCCATGCCAGAGAAGCTGCCTGGTGAGATGTCACCCAGCCAGCAGAGCACAGTGTGAGTCTGTTACATCCCTGTCAGGAAAATGCCCCAGACACAGAAATGCCTCAGTAGAGCTTGGCACAGGGCGCAGAACAGGGACTCAGCAGAGCAGATCTTTAGCCAAGTATGGGGCCACATGGCTGCAATTCCAGCACTTGGGAGGCTGAGGCAGGAGGATTACCAAGAGTTTGAGGCCAGCCTGGGCTACAAAGTGAGTTCAAGGTCAGCCTGAACTACATAGTAAGATCCTGTCTCAAAAAACAAAAAAAAAGAAAGAAAAACAACGAAAAAAATTCCTTTATTTTAGTTTGTTAAGAGACAGGGTTTTACTGAGAGACAGGTTGTGCTTAAAATCCTGCCTTAGCCTCCCAAGGGTTGGGACTGTAGGAGTGCCTCATAGCGGGGTGTGGTGGTGCACACCGGTAATCCCAGAACTCAGGAGTCTGAGGCAGGAGGATCACTGTGAGCTCCAGGCCTAACTGAGCTGCAAAGTGAGTCCAAGGCCAGCCTGGAACTCAATGCAATCCTCCTGCCTCAGCCGCCTGAGTGTTGGGATGACAGGTATACACCACTGGGCCCAGCTGAATTTATGCTTGACCACATCTCAATTTGGTCCAGCCCTAATTCTGGGGCTCAGCAGCCAACACAACCAGTCAGTGAGTCCGTGTGAGGTGCCCCGAGCAGTGGCCTCACCTGCCTCTCCACGGCAATTTGGAAAGCACTGGCTGGTCCCAATCCTGTGAGGGCTGCCAGAGTGTCACCTCTGAGAAACAGGAGAGGAGAAGATATGAGCACCAGGCTGGGGCTGGGGCCTGGGCTTTCTCATTTGTAGTGACTTCAGGAGGCTGGAAATCTTCAGATTTTTTTTTTTGGAGACAAGGTCTTGCTACGTAGCCCAGGCTGGCCTTGAATTCACAGTGATCCTCCTGCCTCAGCCTCCTAGGTGCTGGATGACAGGCATGCAGCACTGTGCCCAGCAATATGCTGATTCTTGTCCCAGCATTAGTTGCATGGTATGTTCACTTTGGGAAATCCCTCCCTCTGTGGATTTAGGCCCTTGTAATTCGTGCACTTTTCCGGGTATGTTACCCTCCATGAAAAGCTCACTTCAGGAAAATATTGTCAAGGGGAAAAGAAGGAAGGTTTCTATTAACATGGCAGCCCACTCCGCAAGGCGGAGGACACTTCCCAGGATGGCACTGAAGGACAACAAGGCATGATCAGACTTTGAAAAGAAAGTGGAATACAGCAGACCTAAGATCGTCACATGGGGGTGAGGAGCTGTCCATGCTGGGAACCCTACATGCTGAAAGGGCTGAGGATGCGGGCTCTGCATGGGCTCTCAGGAGGCTGTGGAGGGCAGGCAGCACCCTGGGTGGGGGTGGAGGTGTTAGGACGGGACCTGTTTAGATGATATAGCGCAGGATCCACTGGAAAGGCTCATGATAGAAGGTAGGCTGGGCTGGCTGAGCTGGCTGGGGACTGGATGATAAGACCAGATAGGTAGGGGCTTTTAAATGTTTAAAAACTTTTTGATGGGCTGGGGATATAGCTTGGCGGCACAGGCGCCTGCCTGGCAAGTGCGAGGTCCTGAGTTTGATTCCCGGTACCAAAAAAAAAAGCTAAAAACTTTTTGACACTGGGGATTGAACCCACGGTCTTCACTCTGAGCTATATCACTGGCCCTTTTTAAAAAGAAAAAAGTTATTTTGTTTTTTTGAGACAGGGTCTTTTTAAGCCACCAAGCCTCCAATCCTTGCCTCAGCCCAGAGTGCTCTACCACACACAGATTTTGTTTCTGTACTTTTTGAGACAGGTTCTTGCAGCACAGCCCAGGCCAGCCTTGAACTCGCAGCAATTCTCCTGCCTCAGCCTCGTGAGCGCTGGGATTACAGGTGTGCACCACCACATCGGGCAGCTGCCCTGCTTTCAAGCACACTCATCCCCTCCTTCTTGGCCCTTTCTGCAGCAGCTCTGAAGTCCTCTTCCTCGAGTGCCTCATTGTGCTTTTGTGGCTGCCTCAATGACTACACCAACTCCAAGTGTTTTTCATGATCATTTTGACCGTGGGGAAGAGCCAGAAGTCACAGACCGGTGGATGAGGACACACTGTTGTGTTTTCAGGAGCCTGCCTTTCCCTGGGGTGGCCCTCAACACCAGCATGCGCCATGTTTTTCATCACACCTCACAGAGACCCTCAGGAAAGAGGACTCCAGAGCTGCTGCCGTGGCTGGGTCGATGGGACGGGTGTGCTCGCAGGGAGGGCTGCATGGCCATGCGAGCTTGGCTGTAATAAATGCTATGAAATGGAAGCAGTCACCGTGTTTTCTGTCACCCCAGTGTTTACTCAGTCAGGCCTCCCTGCCAGGAACACTGGAGCGGGACTCAGGGCCGCACGCTGGCGGCCCGGGCGCTGACTTAGGTCCCCACCCCATGTGTGTCAAGCACCCTGATTCTCTGAACCCTCTGACTCGCTGAGTCTGGATCAAGAACCCCATCCTACAGGGGCAGGAACAGGCTGAAGGTGGCCGGCGGGTGGCAGCGCCAGGAGGGGACCCACCCGGGACACCACCGGTGGCCTCACCTGTGTGCGTGCGCACGTGCCGCTTCAGGTCGAAGGTGTCATTGAAGCCCTTGCCGCAGAAGGTGCACAGGTGCCTCTTCACCTGGCTGTGGCACTTGAGGTGGCGGTTGAGCATGCGCTGCAGGCGGAAGCCCTTGCCGCAGAGCTCGCAGCTGTGCATCGCTGAGTCGCCGCATGTGCCTGTGGTGAACTGGAGCAGAGAGAGACCGTGAGAGCCCAGGACTTGCACAGGGACCCAGGAGGCTTGGCTGCAGGGAAAGTGGTCTCCTCTCTCCTGCAGACCAGACTTCTGCTTCCTGGATAAAAGGGCCTCTGGCGGATGGAAAGGAACTTTCCCTGCAGGGCAGAGTGGCTCCTGATGGCCAGAGTCCCAGCAGCCATCTTGCAACATGAGGTAGAGGCCAGCACTGAGGACGGAAGGGTAGGAAGAAGAGTCTGGTCCTATCCTGGACAGTCCCCAAAGATAGCCACGGGTGCTCCTTCCCCCCAGCGTGGGCAGGGCTACGACCCCTTAACCAGCGGGTAAAGTGGAGCCCAACAGTGCCAGGTCCTAGGAGACTCTGCAGCCACTGCCTCTCCTCCCGTGCCAGCTGTCATGCAGCAAGCCCGAAGCCACGCGCAGGAGCGCTGAGGTGGGGGTGCTGGTTCCAGCCACTGCCCTGCTTCTGACCCACAAGGTCTCAAACAACAGTGACCTCGCTGGGCAATGGTGATGCAGGCCTGCCATCCCAGCAATCAGGAGGCCGAGGCAGGAGGATTGCAAGTTCTAGCCCAGCCTGGGCAACTTAGTAAGACCCTGTCTCAAAGTTTTAAAATGTACAAAGTAAACAGGCTGGGGATGTAGCACAGTGTGAAGGCCCTGGATTCAACCCCCCATGCAGACAGAGAGACACATGTATGCACGCAGGCATGCACGGACGCACGGTTGCTAGGCTGCAGGGAATCATGACAAGATGAGAGCCTGTGTCATGTCCAGTACGGACACAACTTTGCAGACTGCTTTGCTCCACATAGGGTCAAATCCCCAGAAAGTCTCACACTCACATCTTCCATGGGGTTTGTGGCACCCTCAGCGTAAGGCCCTGGCATCAGCAAGTGCGGCCCAGGAGGCGGCATCCCCAGCCCCGCAACAAGCCCAGTCACCCAGAGAGCTGTCCCTACGAGGCCACCACTGTCCAGGGACACAGACAGTGCCAGACCACGACACCAACCAGCTGCCTGCCCTGGATGTGGCCAGAGAGGAGGGAGGAAGGGAGCCCTTGCCAGGGTTGTAGGGCATGGGGACCTGCATGGGGTTCGGGGCGGGGCGAGGGGAGGGAAGCAGCATCGGAGGTCCCCTCAGGGTGGCCCTTGGGACCCTAATGGAGCTGGGATAATTCAGACATAAGAGGGACTTGGAGGGCAGAGGGCAGTCACGGCAGCCAGGTCAGGTCGGCGACCCAACCAGGCGGTCACTCACGTCCCTGGCGGTCTGAGGTTCCCAGGTCTCTTCCTGTCCAGCCAGCTTCTTGGTGCCTGCCTCCCCTGAGGGGCCAGGGAAAGACTACGTGTGGCCACTCACAGGTCAAGTCTCTGCTTTACAAGGTCAGGTCTATACAAGGTAAAGGTCGTGGGCAAACTAGCGAGGGGCGAATGAAACACAGATGACAGAGCCTCAAAATTCCAGGCAAAGTTCTGTGAAACGCTGGCCGCATTTGAAAGCCTTGCCAACTACCGTTAAAACCCGAACTCTTTCTGGTTGCTTGATTGATGGATGGATTAACTGAGACAAGGTCTCGCTGAAAAATCCAGGCTGGTCTTGAACTCACTGTACAGCCGAGGATGACCTCAAACTCACAGCAATCCTCCTGCCTCAGCCTCCCAAGTGCTGAAATGACAGGTGTGTGCCACCATGCCTGGCCCTAAAACCTGAGCTCTGGTTTGCTGACTTTAGTCTTTTTAGTAAACCCTTAGTTTTAAAGTGCTCTGCATGGAATATGGCGGAGAACTTCTACTGCTGCCCAGAAGGAAAAGTTCAAATCATTGGCATTGTTTGTTGGAAAAGAGTAAAATCTTGAAGGGCACAGGCAAGGGCGCTTAGTGACAATTCAAGGGGTGCCAAGGAGAAGGAAGGGAGAACACCAGAACAGGCAGGAAATGGGGGTGGGAAGGAGGCGCTGGAGCCCCCAGGGCCTCTCTTCCCCAGGTGACCTTTTTTGGGTCGGGTCTTCTTAGGCCAAAAGCAGAAATTCTCCAAGCTGGCCCTCAACAAAGCAGTTGTTTCCATGCCTCCGCCTTCCCATCCATCCCATTTCACAGCTACTGTAACGAGTCACCACCAGCTCACTTAAGGAATTCGCCCTGAGCTGCGCCCTCCAATCCGGCAGGCTCAGCGTGGTACCGCACACCTGTGAACGGAGAAGAGCCTGCGCCCACGTGGTCCTGCTACTTGGTTTGGGCTGCCAGTGCCTCATGAACAGATCAGACCAGAACAACAAGAGACTTGTCACGTTCTCCTTATAACACCTGTCTGTCTATTTGCAGCACTGGAAATTGAAACCGGGGCCTTCACACTGAGCTACATCCCTGGGCCTTTTTATTTTTATTTCCCAGACAGGGTCTTGCTAGGTTGCTAAGTTGCCTAAGGTTGGGCTCGAACTTACAATCCTGCCTCAGCCTCCTGAGTGCTGGGATGACTGTATACACTTCGCAGCTCTTCCTTCCTGCGTCCTGTGCAAGATGTGGAAGCCAGGAAGCCAGGGTTGTGCACAGGAGGAGCGGGGAGCGCACGTCCTGCCAGTGTGGCGCCCAGCCCAGCCTGCCCATTTTGGAGTGTCCTGTCCCAGAATGGGTCACACAACACAGCAGACACATCTGGTTCCTGGAAGGATGTCACATGGGCCAGAGCCATGTGTATCATGTTATTTATTTTTGGTACTGGGAATTGAACTCAGGACCCTGCGCTTGCCAGGCAGGTGCTTATACCACTGAGCTATATCCCCCACCAGAGCCACCTGTATCGTTTCCGCAGGTTTGTCCCCAACTCTCTGCTGCCTCAAATTTCAAAAAGAGTTGCAGCCTCCCTTTACTCCATACTGCCAGGGGTAGGCAGAGTTCCCCTTCAGCCAAACTTTAGCCCCTTTGTGGAATGAAGAAGCCAAATGTGGTCGACCAGGCCCATGATTCCAGCATTCGGAAGGCTGAGGCAGGAGGATCACTGTGAGTTCACAGCCAGGCTGTGCTATATAGCAAGGCCCTGTCTCAAAACAAAATAAAACAAAATGTTCAAAAAACAAATAAAAGAAATACTGGTGAAAATGCCAAATAATGGACTAGAAACCTAGCCTGGCTATGTAATGTCAGAGGTCATCTAACATCCCTGGGTCACAACGCTCCTGCATAATGACAGCATTGCCTCAGCCACATAAGCAGCTAGGAGCAGGGCCTGTTTTCCAGCTTCCTGAGTCCAACTCCTGCTCCACTGACTCTCATCTGAGTGGCGACAAGCAAGTCACTAAGCTTTCTAAGCCTCCATTTCATCACCTGTAAAGAATGAGAATGGTATTTGCCTCTTGGGAATAAACAAAAGACGCAAAAAGAAAAGCTACTTTAGCCTGGCATGGTGGCACATGCCTATAATCCCAGTGCTCTGGGAGGCTGAAGGATCACTGTGAGTTCAAGGCCAGCCTGCACTACATAGTGAGACCCTATCTCAGAAAAAGAAAAGAAAAAGAACAGCTACTTTAAAAGGACCCGACACCTGGTAATCCTACTACAACTAGACCACCTCCAAAATTCTAGGATCATAAGTAAAACCTAACGGGTCAGAATCTTTTGCTTCTTTTTTTTTTTTGGTATCAGGAATCGAACTCAGGACCTTGCACTTGCCAGGCAGGCACTTATGCCACTGAGCTTTATCCCTGGCCATCGTCCCTTGTTTCTCAGTTTGCTTTTGAATTGCTCTCTCTGATGCAAAGGAAAGAGCAGGAACTTCTGGTGTGAGTCCAAGCATAATGCTTCACCTGCGCCTCTGTACCCCCAGAATCTGGCCGTGAGAACCAGTCTGAGCCAATGCGGGAAAATGTGGACTTCATCCCAGGAGGCTGTGACATCTGTGTGTTTTGATACAGAAATCAGTAACGCGTGGACGTGCCCCCTCTCAGACCTGCCTCCAGGACTGGAATTTACACCCCACCACCTTCTGAAAAGGCCTGACAGTCTCACCCTTCATCCGAAACTAACGCTTTGCAAAAGGCTTATTATTTTTTTTTTTTTTTTGGTTTTTCTCCGGTACCGGGAACTGAACTCACGACCTTGCGCTTGCCAGGCAGATGCTTTTGCCGCTGAGCTAAATCCCCAGACCCTGCAAAAGGCTTATTAACAAAGTGGGAAAACTACCACAGAGGATGGGAAACAGTGGCAGTGCAGCAATAACAAAGGGCAGGGATGAAGAAGCGTGGAGAAAACACCTTCCCGAGCGGCGCTTCTCGGCTTTCCTTTTAAAAGACACCCCAAGTCCCTCCCAAGTGCTTCTAAAACCCAGGCCTCCGCAGCAGAACAAACCCATCATTGTTATGGGAGCTGCTGAAGGGGTCAGAAGCATCCAGGAACAGGGACCTCGGTGGCCTCTGTGACCAACTTCAAAGCTGGCTGGGATCACTCACCTGTCAGAGCTCTGAAGGGGAGCAACAGAAAAGGGGGTCGACCCTCTGCTTCCTGTCAGTGCTGCCAGCACACCAGCTCATTAAATTCATGGTCCTGCTTCCTGTGGGAGGACACGCTAGGTCCAAAGCGCCCTTCCGGCGGCCACTTGGACAAGCTCTCCACTGGCGCGACGGCTGTGCCTGAGCGCTCAGAACACGCCGAGAACAGCTCCTACTTCCCCCGGGATTCAGAGCCCCTCCTGTCCCACGTTCCATTTCTGGAGGCTTCACAAACCCCCTTCTCAACACAGAGAGGAGGAATGGAATAGACCCGGGAAGGGGAGAGAACAGAAGCTCAAAGACGCGTAACCCGCCCATGACGGGCTCACAGGTGATCGCACCTACAGGATGGGTCCATGGGGCGGGACGGGACATGGGGAGGGGGAGGGAAATGAGCCCCATAGTGTTTCACATCATGGTGGAAAATAGTTTCAGATTCATTGTGTCCTGTGTCAGAATCAACAATGACCAAAGCATCAAAGCTACATATTGACAGTGGCCACCACAT